GTATAAAGAGATGATTGCACATATGCTTCCAGGTTGGCCTTGGGGACTGCCCCACCCTTGGAGACTTAACCCCTGGGTCATAACTTTGAAATGGTTAATATCCCCACCCCAAAACTATATATACAATTGTTGGGCATAAAGAGACGATGCAGTCATGACATTAGAATTGATCCCAGGGTCTGCCCCACCCTTGCAGACTTGGCCCCTGGGTAATAACTTTGAAACGGTTGAGATCCCCACCCCAAAACTATATATTCAAATGCTTGAAAAAAAGAGACAAATGCAGTCACAATATTAGAATCGATCCTGGAGTCTGGCCACAACTATAGGGACCTAGTTTCTGAGTCAAAGCTTCGAAACAGTTGAGATCCCCACCCCATAACCATACATAAAATTGCTGGGCATGAAAAATCTAATATAGCTATGCTACAAGGATTTGCCTTGGGGTCTGGCATATTCCCTTGATCTAATTTGGAGAATAGTTTGCCATGATTGCATAGGTATCCAGGTGAGCGATATAGGCCCTCTGGGCCTCTTGTTTTTTTTTACCTAATTGCTAAGCGTAATGTGCATGGTTTTTCCTCAGCTTACTTTCGTAATGATCTTGCGTTTAACATTACGTAAACACATGATCGACATCCTCGTGAATTATTTCAATATTCATTAAATGAAGCATCATTAAAATAATGTATTCTGCTTTGATTATTTTCCCTTCAAGTAGATTTAAAGAGGATGAGTTGATGAGTGAAAACAACACGGTCCCTCAATCGCGATCCTAAATCATTTCAATTAGATTACAGTAGGGCTATTTTTAATCGGTCATCATAGATAATTACTGCATTGTAATTTGTATTAAATAACTGTGGTGTTGAGGATGTCAATAATTTTCACTGAAGCATGGCGATCCTACCTTGCCTTTTGTCAGGGACCAGAAAACGTCAGTGGTTATGCCGTCCAGTCAACTTACCTGTAAAAATGTTACCTATATCAAGCTAGTGTTTGTCGCCAAATCAGCAGTCATGATCACAGATTACCAATTTTTAATCATTTTAGAGTACATTGTACAAGTTTGTAAAGGAACCCTTTTCATGTTGATATAGCTTTTCTCTGTGACAATTATTTATTGTCTTGTAATGGGACATTGACATTTTAGCCCGCCATCATCTGATGGTGGGCTATTCAAATCGCCCTGCATCCGTGGTCAGTTCGTCCATCCGTCCATGGTCCATCCTGAAACAATTCTTGTTATTGCTATTCTCAGGAAGTACCAGAGGGATCTTTTTCAAATTTTAGATGTAGGTTCCCCTTGGTCCCTAGTTGTGCAGGGCAACCTTTGAGACTGATCGTGTAAACAACATGGCCGATAGGCAGCCATCTTGGATTTTGATAGTGAAGGTTTGTTATTGCTATTTCTCAGGAAGTTTCAGAGGGATCTTTATCAAACTTTATATGTAGGTTCCCCTTAGCATGTAGTTGTGCAGGACAACTTTTGGGACTGATCGGATAAACAAAATGGCCGACAGGCAGCCATCTTAGATTTTGACAGTGAAGGTTTGTTCTGGTTATTTCTCAGGAAGTACTGGAGGGATCTTTCCCAGATTTGTTATGTAGGCTCCCCTAGGTCTGTAGTTGTGCATGTTTAATTTTGAGAATGATCAGATAAACAAAATGGCAACAGGCAGCCGTCTTGAATTTTTAGCTCACCGGGTCTGAAGGACCAAGGTGAGCTTATGCCATTCCATGACATCAGTCCGTCCGTCAACAACTTCTTCTTCGTAACCACTGATTGGAATTTAACTAAATTTGACTGGAAGCATTCCTAGGTGGTAGGGATTCAAAATTGTTCAAATGGTGGGGCTGACCCCCCAAGGGGGCTATGGGGCGGGGCCAATTTGACTATATTGCTTTAAGCGACTTCTTCTCTGGAACTAAGAGATGGATATCAACCATATTTGACTGGTAGCACCCCTAGGTGGTGGATATTCACAATTGTACAAATTTTGGGGCTGACCCCCCCGGGCCAAAATAAGTTTATCACTTGGAAATGGTTGAGATCCCAACCTTATAACCATATATACAATTGCTGAGTATGAAGAGAAGAATGCACAGTTCAAGATAATAGAATAGACCCTAGGTTCTGACTGAACCCCTAGGGACCAAGTTTCTTAGTCACAGCTTGGAAATAGTTGAGATCCCCACCCTATAACCATATATACAATTGCTAAGTATAAAGAAATGATTGCACATATGCTTCCAGGATGGCCTTGGGGTCTGCCCCACTCTTGGAGACTTAACTCCTGGGTCATAACTTCAAAATGGTTAAGATCCCCACCCCAAAACTATATATACAATTGTTTGGCATAAAGAGACGAATGCAGTAATGATATTAGAATTGACCCCAGGGTGTGTCCCACCTTTGCAGACTTAACCCCTGGGTCATAGCTTAGAAACGGTTGAGATCCCACCCCAAAACTATAAATACAAATGCTGGGCAAAAAGAGACGAATGCAGTCATGATATTAGAATTGATCCTGTATTGGCCTTGGGGTCTGGCATTTTCCCTTGGATCTCATTCGGAGAATATTGCCATGATTGCTTAGATATCAAGGTGAGCGATACAGGCCCTCTGGGCCTCTTGTTACATTGAAGGTTTGTTATCGCTATTTCCCCGGAAGTACTGTAGGGATCTTTCTCAAATTTGATATGCAGCTTTTCCTTGGTCCATAGTTGTGCAGGTTAACTTTTGAGACTGATCAGATAAACAAAATGGCCGACAGGCAGCCATCTTGGATTTTGAAAGTGTATGTTTGTTATTGCTGTTTCTCAATAAGAATTGGAGAGATCTTTCTCAAATCTTATATGTAGGTTCCCCTAGGTCCTTAGTTGTGCATGTTCTTTTGAGACTGATCAGATAAACAAAATGGTAGACAAACATTGCAGTGGTGAGGTGATTAAATGTATGACTTATTTTTGTCAACTTTAACAGTTGAATGCAGGCTGTTTCCTGTGATATATTTTCCCAAAATGAAGAAAATTGAGAAATATCTTCCCGATTTCAATAAAAAGAATGCTATATTGTCACAATTGATGTAGGAGCAGGCTGGAACTTGTCGTAAAACTTAGATAGAAAAAAGGCACTGTTAACGATTTTTGATGCTTATTACATACATGTGCAAATTCACATGGTTTATATATCTTATGTCTTATTCTTTTCAGTTGCGTGCTGATGTTGTGGTTTATACATGGTTTATATATCCTATGTCTTATTCTTTTCAGTTGCGTGCTGATGTTGTGGTTTATACATGGTTTATATATCCTATGTCTTATTCTTTTCAGTTGCGTGCTGATGTTGTGGTTTATACATGGTTTATATATCCTATGTCTTATTCTTTTCAGTTGCGTGCTGATGTTGTGGTTTATACATGGTTTATATATCCTATGTCTTATTCTTTTCAGTTGCGTGCTGATGTTGTGGTTTATACATGGTTTATATATCCTATGTCTTATTCTTTTCAGTTGCGTGCTGATGTTGTGGTTTATACATGGTTTATATATCCTATGTCTTATTCTTTTCAGTTGCGTAGTGATGTTGTGCCTAAAACAGCAGGTAAGACATAAGGAGAAGATGGACCAGTAAAACTGAATTTTTATTTGAAACTTGATTTTTGATTTTAATAGATAATACCTTGTGATGAGTTGTCAAGAACATAATAACAATATACAAGAATTATACACAGGGGTTCGTTACAAATGTCTGATATACACATGCTGTACTGATAAGGGTTACAGCACATATAAACATACAACTTCTAAATAACCAAAATTCCCTGAATGATGATACTTGGCCAGTAGGAACCGGGGGTGAAGGGCTACAAAGACTGATGAATGACCTCAACCCACATTAAAAGTCAAAGGATCAAATGTATAAAATATTTTAAGCAACTTCTTCTCAATTTTCAAAAGGTTGATGACATGTGCCCAGTAGAATACTTTGATGAATGACCTTGACTCACTTTCAAGGTCGCTGGTGTTTAAAATATCCTAATCCAAATATAGCAATATTTCTGATCACCATTCTTTATAACTACTGTATGTTACTACTTGTAGGGCTTTTATGATTAGATAATTTAGATGAATTAGCTCAGAAAAAATAACAATGTTCTGTGTGTAAAAATACAACTTGGCCTGGCCAGAGTTCAAACCCTGTACCTGTAATCTTCATTTACTGTTGCTCCACCCAACTGAACTACCTGGTCCTGTGTCCTACTCGGGCGTTAAAATTAAAAAGGGGAGGTAATTACTGCACAGACATAAAAATATACAGTAAAATCACTAGTGTTTTGCCTTCAGTGGCAGAGGGATCCATAATGAAATTGTTTTGCTATGATTGCCTTAATATAAAATTGGGCGATACATGGCTTTTGGGTTTCTGTAGGATTATAAAGCTTATGATGTTTATTCATAATACTTCATTGTAAAATGTAACCTTAATAAACGTTTCTGATGATTAAATGAATGTATTGTATGATGCTGTAAAGTACTTTCAATATAAGTTGAAGTTGATTGTTGCATGGTAGTAAATACTACTGCAATAGCAGACTGCAGTAGTTTGCCTTGTGCCATTATGCTCATTGTACTGTCATCACAATCATCGGTTATTAATCATGTTTAATAAATTTGTTAGTTTTTAATTTCAACAGAAAATTTCAGGGCCTTGTGCACAGGTGAAAAAGGATTTGGATTTAAAGGGTCTTCTTTCCATCGAGTCATACCCGGTTTCATGTGTCAAGGAGGCGATTTCACAAACCATAATGGAACTGGTGGAAAGAGCATCTATGGGAACAAGTTTGCAGATGAAAACTTCACACTGAAGCATACTGGAGCGGGTAATTCTAAATTTACAATCGTTGATCTGCTGTACTTGTTCAATGTTGCCTTTTAGGAATCCATTTCAATACATTCATTCATAAATAACCAGAAAAAAATATTCCAAATTAACATTTTCAGTCTTGTTTATATATATTGCTTGTCTTGCAAGTGCAGGCTTAAGCTTTGTGGTGCTTGAATGGGAGAATCCTACAACAGTGGATGATGATCCAAAGTGGAGCTTTACTTTGGATGAAAATCAAAGACAAATGGACTCTGCTCAATATCTGGGGACTTCTGGACCTGCTTACTATTAAGATGCAAATCAAATATTTAACTCACCTGGTCCGAAGGACCATGGTGAGCTTATGCCATACCGCAACTTTTCCTAAAAATCGCTACTAGTTATGAACGACTAAGCAGATTTTGGTCAGAAGCATCCTTGGGGAAGGGGGAACAAATTTTGTATAAATGATGGGTCTGGCCCCCCTGGGGGCTGTCCAATAGGGGAAATATAGCAAATTCTTTAAAATCCTTTCTTCTTCTGTAGGAATGATTGGATTTGTTCCATATTTGGTCTGAAGCATCCTTGGGTGAAGGGGAACCAATATTGTATAAACCGTGGGTCTGGCTCCCCAGGGGCCTGAGGGGCAGGGCCCAATAGCGGAAACATAGCAAATTCTTTAAAATCCTAATAATTCTGTAGGAATGAAAGGATTTGTTCCATATTTGGTCTGAAGCATTCTTGGGTAAAGGGGGAACCAATTCTGTATAAACGGTGGGTGTAGCCCCCCTGGGACCTGAGGGGTGCATGGGGGCCCAATAGGGGAAATAGAGGTAAAACCTTTAAAATCCTTCTTCTACCATAGGGATTAAGGGATTTAATCCTAATTTAGTCTGGAGCATTCTTGGGCAAAAGGGACTCAATTTCGTATAAACAGCGAGTGTGGCCCCTCTGGGGGCAGAAGGGAGGGGCCCAATAGGGGAAACATAGCAAATTCTTCAAAATCCTTCTTCTTCTGTATTAATGATAGTATTTTGTCCAAATTTGGTCTGAATCATCCTTGGGTGAAGGGGAACCAATTTTGTATAAATGGTGTGTCTGACCCCCCAGGTGAGGCAGGGCCCATTAGGGGAAATAGAGGTAAAACCTTTAAAATCCTTCTTCTACCATAGGGATTAAGGGATTTTATCTTAATTTAGTCTGGAGCACCCTTTGGCCAAGGGGTCTCAATTTTGTATAAGCAACCACACCCACTGCTGAAGGGCGGGGCCTGAATAGGCGAAATAGAGGTAAAACCTTTAAAATCCTTTTTCAACCATCAGGATTAAGGGATTTTATCCTTATTTAGTCTGGAGCATCCTTTTGCCAAGGGGACTCAATTTTGTATAATTGGTGGGTATGAAATTGGAAATTGAGATAAATCTTAAAAAAAATCTCCTTATGTAAAAATGGAGGAAGTTTAACCAAATTTTGTGTAGAACATCTGTGGGCAAGGGGAATTCACTTTTATATAAACGAAGGGTGTAGCTCCCCTGGGGCAGAGGGGCAAGGCCCAATTAGGAAGAACATGGGAAAATGTTTAAATTCCTTCTGTATGAATGGAGGAAATTGAACCAAATTTAGTGTAGAGCATCTTTGGGCAAAATGAACTTAAGTTTGTATGGAAGGTATTGCCCCCTGAAAGCTGAGGGGCTGGGCCCAAAAGGTATATTTTGGCCATATTACTAAAATGACTTCTTCTTTGGAACAAAGATGGCCATTATCCATATTTGGTTTGGAGCATTCTTCGGTGATTGAGGATTCAGAATTGTACCAGTGGGAGTTGAGTGGCTGACCTCTGGGTCTAAAGAATGAGGCCAAAAAGAATTTCTTGCTTGGAGGACATCATCGAGATCCCAACTCTACAACCATGTAAACAATCACTGAGCATCCGGGGACAAACACAATTATGATAAAAGAATTAACCTTGGGGTCTGGCCCTACCCCATAACATATAAACCATTGCTGGGCATCAAGAGACTAACATATTCATTGACTCTGGGGTCTGGCCTCTTCCCTAGGGACTTAATTCCTGAGCCATAACTTTACACGGGTTGAGATCCCCACCCAATTACCATACATACCATCACTGGGCATCAAGACACCAACACAATCATGATATTAATATTGACCCTTGTTATTTACTCTGGTGTCTGGTTCCACCCTTAGGGACTTATTTTCTTAGCCATAACTTTTAAATGGTTGAGGTCCTGAACCCATAGCCATATATACCATTCCTGAGATTAAAGATCCAGGTGAGCAATACAGGCCCTTTGTCTTTATTTAAAGTTGATTTCAATTATTGTTTCAGCTTTCAGTACTTAACTCTGTTTTCAAACCTTTATTTTTTGTGTTAATTTATGAAAGACAATACATGCAATTTTTCTGTCTTTGCAGGAATATTGTCGATGGCCAATGCTGGACCCAACACAAATGGATCACAGTTTTTCCTTTGCACAGTCAAGACTCCATGGTATGATTAATATTGTATAATCGGTGGAATCCATTTATTATGATATTTTATTTGCCAGAGAAAAATGTTATAATAACTGATATATAGTAAATTAAACTATCATGCTGTTTTCGATTGCTTTTAGGTTGTCTGTACCAGAAATAAGATGCCTTATGTTTATAAGACACATATGAATGTGGAAACATGGAAGGATATTAAAACAAAATGATATTGTAATAATTGAGATGAAATGGTCATTATTTATTTATATCAGTGTGCTGGAAAAATCTTTCAACGAAAATTGTGTACATTGTAAATCAATCAGTCGTCAGTTAATTACCACAATAATGTTAACTGTAAATTAATATGGCACCAAGCTGTCAGGATAGTTAGGCCAGATTTTGACGTTTTTTTATCTCACCTGCCCAAAGGGCAAGTGAGCTTATACCATGGTGCGTCGTCCGTCGTTATCCGTCAACTTTTCCTTTAAACTACTTAATCTGAAAAATTGACAGGCATAGAGTCATGATATTTGCCTGAAAGCTTTGTTGGTAAGAGCCAAACAAATTTTGAGAATGAGAATGACCTTGATTTACTTTCAAGGTCTCAAGGGTCAAATGTGTCAAACACTTCAAACGACTTCTGAATAAGAACTGAAAGGTACAGAATCTTCATATTTGGCTGGTGGCTTCCGTGGAAAGGGCCTGACAAAGTTTGAGAACGAAAATGACCTCAGCTTACTTTCAGGGTCACAGGGGTCAAAAATGTCAAACGCTTCAAACGACTTAATCTGAAGAACTAAAAGGTATAGAATCTTCAAATTCAGTTGGTAGCTTTCTTGGAAAGAGCCTGACAAAGTTTGCGAATGAAAAGTACCTTGACCTACTTTCAAGGTCACATGAGTCGAATATTTAAAACACTTCAAACAACTTTTTCTAAAGAACTAAGATGTATAGAATCTTCATATTTGGCATGTGGCTTCCATGGATAGAGCCCAACAAAGTTTGAGAAGGACAATTACCTAATTTTAGCTCATCTGCCTTAAGGTCAAGTGAGCTTATGTCATGGTGCGGCATCCGTCGTGTGCCCGTCTTCTGTCAACTTTTCCTTAAAACAACTTCTTCTAAAGAACTATCAGGCCTAGAGTCATGATATTTGGCTGAAAGATTTGTTGGTTAGAGTCTGACAAAGTTTGAGAATGAAAATGACCTTGACCTACTTTAAAGATCAAACGTGTCAAACACTTCAAACAACTTCCCTCTTAAGAACTAAATAGTATAAAATCTTCATATTTGGTTGTTGGTTTCCTGGGATAGAGCCTGACAAAGTTTGAGAATTAAAATGACCTTGACCTACTTTCAAGGTCTCTGTGGTCAAATGTGTGAAATGCTTCAAACGACTTCTTCTGAAGAACTGAGAGGTATAGAATCTTCATATTTGGCTGGTGGCTTTCTTGGATAGAGCCCAACAAAGTTTGAGAATGATAATGGCTTTGACTTACTTTCAAGGTCTCGGGGGGGGTCAAATGTGTCAAACACTTCAAACAATTTCTTCTTAAAACTAAAAGGTATAAAATCTCATATTTGGTTGGTGGTTTCCTGGGATAGAGCCCGACAAAGTTTGAGAACGAATATTACCTTGACGTGCTATCAAGGTCACAGGGGTCAAATATGTAAAACAATTCAAACTTTTTCTTCTGAAGAACTGATTGGTATAGAATTATAAAATTTGGCTTGTAGCTTCCAGACACGAAGCCTGACAAACTGTTCGAATTAAATTGACTTTAACCTACTTTCAAGGTCACAGGGGTCAAATATGTCAAACTTATCAAACGATTTTTTCTGAATAATCAAAATGCATAGAATCATATTATTTGGCTGGTTGCTTCTGCTGATTGAGCCTGACAATGTTTGCGAATGAAAATAACCTCAATCTACTTTCAAGGTCACAGGGGCCTAAATTTCAAGCACTTCAAATGACTTCTGAATAATCTAAAGGCATAGAATTATAATATTTAGCTGGTAACTGTTACAGATGTAGCCTGACAAAGTTTGCTATTGAAAATACCCTCAACCTACTTTGGCCATACATGATTCAGTGTTTTCAAGCCATGCCCCCCATCCCAATGGGGACAGGAGAATGGGACCCAATAAGATAAGGGTGTTACTTAGAGACAGCCAATATTTAGAAATATTTGTAGTACAGTATAATATACATTTGATATTTTGCTATGATTGCTTAAATATCAAGATGAGCGATTACAGGCCCTCTGGGTCTCTTGGTTAGCTTGTAAAAATCCATTCACAACAGAAAATAATATAACAAGCAGGGTCCCGCGTTTGACCATTTCATAGTAAAAATATATTTTTACTTACCTGGTAGTTTATATAGAGAAAAATCGGTGCATGGAATACCATATCAAAATAAGTGGGTTCCACTGTATGTATATTGGGTTCAAAACTTAGAAATTACAGAAAGATATGCTCTTCTGGGGTTTTGAAATCTCATTTTGATATAGTGTGACAGGTTTTGATTAAATCTGAACAAATTTTGATTTAAAGCAAACATGCACTTGGAAAATGTGTCAAAAACTAGAAACCTGCTGTTTGGACAACATTTTTAGCTCCCTTGGTTTAAACACTACAGGTCCTGAACGGCTCTGGATTTAGACTAATTTTGGGCTGGAGCATCCTAGGGCAAATTTTGTATAAATTGAGGGTGTGGCCTCCCTAATAGAGGCAGAACAGTGAAGCCAAAAAGGGGAAATTGAGGTAAATATTTTAAAACCTTCAATACCAATGTCCATTGGGGAGATTTTAACCAAATTTGGTCCAGCGGATCAACTAAATCAACAAAAAAAATGTTCTTTTCAACATTCTTCATTTGAAGAACACCTTCACTTCTTTTCTTGAAATAATTCAATTTTGGCAAATGTAACAGTATTTAGTGCCCTGACAACTCTCTATAACTCTTATTCTCTACTTCGAATAGAGAGTGTGGTCCCCTTGGGTCAGATGGTTGAGATCTAATAGGGGAATATAGCAGTAAATGTTTGATATGATTTTCCTTCAATACAATTAGAGGGATTTTAACACGCAAGATCCTGAAGAGCTTCTTTAGGCAAAGGGGACTTATATTGTATGAATGGAGGGTGAGTCCCCCCTGGGGGAAGGGTGATGGGCTCAAATAGGGGAAATTGAGGTAAATCATGATACAGATGGCTAATTTCTGCTACATACAGACACGTATATATATGAATTGTTAAATATACAAAACAATCAATATCACTTATTAATACACATAATATAAAATGATGACACTATCACATAGAGAGTGTAGTCCTCCTCGGCCTGTTTTCCTTCAGTATTGTTAGAGGGAAATTTCCTGTAGAGCATCTTTTGGCAAGGATGGGATAAATCTTTTAAATACTTCATTCTCACGAATGGGGGTATAGAAATCAAAATTTGCAGTAAGCATTTGGCAAAGGTGACTAAAATTTTGTATCAACAAAAAATACAGGCCCTTTAGGCCTCTAACAAATTGGGGTATAGAAATCAAATATTGTGGTAAGAATTTGGCAAAGGGGACTAAAAATTTGTATTGACGAAGAATACAGGCCCTTTAGGCCTCTTATTTATAGCAACTAAGTTGGTATATGCTCTACAAGTTTATCGTGTTCAATATTATGAAAATGATATGCAATAAAGTGGTAAATTAAACAATATTGGTATTTCAATACTTATTTTTATCAGCTGAAGCCAATTTGTTTTTGATCCAGCAAAAGATGAAAAATAACACAAAAAACAATTTTGCTATAAAAAAAAATAGCACTGTGTAACCCCCTGTTTTTTTTTAACTGTTTTTAGAAGAGAACATATATTCTCTGGAACTGAGAGATTCATATCAACCATACTTGATTGGAAGAGATTGCACAAATGGAAGTTTTGAGGGGTGGGGCCAAAAGGGGGTTATTTGGCCATATTGTTATTCCTTATGGGTTAAGGGATTTTGCTCAATTGTTGACTTTTTGGAAAATCTTTAAAATTGTCCTCCTACAATACAAATTATGGAAGTTTTACCAGTTTTTAGCTCAGCTCGTTCGTCACACTTTCTTCAAACAACTTCTTCATAATTGCTGATTGGAATTCAACTAAATTTCACCTACGTGGAGGAGAATATAAACTCTACAAATGGTGGGGCTAAAGGGGTAGGGCAAAAAGTTGGTAATTTGGCCATATTGCTTTAAGTGACTTCTCTGAAACTAAGATTGACCTTGGGATCTGGCTACAACCTGAAGGACTTGTTCTTTGGTCATAACTTTGAAATTGTTGAGATCCTTGCCCTTAAGCCTTATATAAAATTGCTGAGCATAAAGAGAAGAATACAGTCATGGTATTATAATTGACCCTAGGGTCTGCCCAGACCCTTAGGGACTTGCGCCTTTGGTCATAACAAAATACTTTTAAAATCGTTTAAATTCACACCCTATCATAATGATATTTAGATACACATATTATTAGATTTGATATACATGAAAATTTAGATACACCAATTATTATATTTGATATACATGAAGATTTGGAAACACATATTATTATATTTGATATACATGAAGATTTGGAGTTTAAATAATAGCACTTTTCATATTATAAAAAAACGTCTTTGTGACATATTCAGACAAGAATGTTTTGAAAAAATTCAATCTTCTCCTAAAGGAGCATTGTATCAATATGTGTGTGATTTTGGTCACCAGTACTATTTATCAAAACCTGTAAATATAAATTATTTAAAACAAATATGTAAAATTCGAATGTCTACACATAAGTTAAATATTGAGTGTGGCAGACATAATAGAACTGAAAGACAAAACAGATTGTGTACAGAATGTGACCTGAATGATGTCGAGGATAAGTTCCATTTTATTTTAAAATGTCCTTGCTATATTGATATATGGTTGAAACTAATTAAGAAATATTATGTAAGACATACAAGCATGTATAAATTAATTCAACTGCTTACTTTTGAGAATGTATCTGACATTAGAAATCTGGGCAAATTTTTAATACAAGCAAACAAAAGGAGATCTGAGCTGATTGATGGTTAGTGTTCACTCTTCACGGTGTGTGTTTGTGTGTGTGTGTATGTGTGTGTGTATCATATAGTATGTTGTCTCTGTATTGTTTTGTAAATATGTTATAAGTGATAAGTCAACCAACTTAAAGTAATAAAGAACTTGAACTTTAACTTGGATACACATATTATTAGATTTGATATACATGAAGATTTAGATACACCAATTATTAGATTTGATATACATGAAGATTTGGATACACATATTATTAGATTTGATATACATGAAGATTTAGATACACCAATTATTAGATTATATATATTAGGATTGATATACATGAAGATTTAGATACACCAATTATTAGATTTGGTATATTAGATTTGATATACATGAAGATTTAGATACACCAATTATTAGATTAGATATACATGAAGATTTGGATACACATATTAATAGATTTGATATACATGAAGATTTGGATACACATATTATTAGATTTGAAATACATAAAGATTTAGATACACCAATTATTAGATTTGATATACATGAAGATTTAGATACACATATTATTAGATTTGATATACGTGAAGATTTAGATACACCAATTATTAGATTAGATATACATGAAGATTTGGATACACATATTAATAGACTTGATATACATGAAGATTTGGATAAACATATTATTAGATTTGATATACATGAAGATTTAGATACACCAATTATTAGATTAGATATACATGAGGATTTGGATACACATATGTTTAGATTTGATATAGATGAAGATTTAGATATACCAATTATTAGATTTGCTATACATGAAGATTTGGATACATATATTATTAGATTTGAAATACATAAAGATTTAGATACACATATTATTAGGTTTTTTATACATGAAGATTTGGATACACATATGTTTAGATTTGATATAGATGAAGATTTAGATACCCCAATTATTAGATTTGCTATACATGAAGATTTGGATACATATATTATTAGATTTGAAATACATAAAGATTTAGATACACAAATTATTAGATTAGATATCCATGAAGATTTTGATACACATATTAATAGATTTGATATACATGAAGATTTAGATACGCCAATTATTAGATTTGATATACATGAAGATTTAGATACACATATTATTAGGTTTTATATACATGAAGATTTGGATACACATATTATTAGATTTGATATACATGAAGATTTGGATACACATATTATTAGATTTGATATACATGAAGATTT